AAAAGGAGTGATTCTTACTGGCCAAGAGTGACTGAGAAAATGCTGTTATGCCCCAACATTAGTCTTAGTGGTTATTTCAGTATTGAAATGTCCAAATGTACAGTGTTTCAAAACTATTGTAGTTGTCTTGGCAAGTTAACAGAAACATCTTAAATTCCTTTCTAGGTCTTTTTTCTTCATATTTTGATTTAAAACATGAAGGAAGAATACTTGAGGAAATGTCACCCATTTGAGAGTGAAAGAGCTACAGATAATAAACTCAGTTTATCTAGAGATTTAGCTCAAATCGCACTTTACTTATAGCTAGTCAAGGATGCCATGTGGATATGCTGGCAAATATAATTTATTAGAAAATCATTAACATGTTCATAAGTAGATATTGATTCAGACATTAATTTTGTTGCTCTGGGAGGTTAAGAAGGACGTACTCCCTGCTGCAAAGAGCTTGCATGCTAATGAATTAAGAATATTAATTACTAGTGTGCTAATAACAGTCTGCCTTTGAAGTTCTTTCCTTCATATTTTAATTGATACCTAAGTTGTACAGTTAAAAAATCATTTTTAGAATATTTTTGTGGGGTGTTCTTAACTGCCCTTTTATTGTAATTCCTTTGTTTATTGTATTCTTATTTCTTTTTATTTTTCTCTTTTTAATCCCTTATTTGGATTTGAGATGATAACCAGAATTATGTTAACCACCACCTTATAACTTTACCAAAAGCCAGTGGCAGAGTACTTTCCAAATTGTTTGAATGTTTATTGTATTTATATATTATAGTACTTTTTAAAATTGAAAATCACATTCAATATGTGTGATAAATTTTTGAATATTCAGTAATTTAGTTTTCATGAGATAAAAATCTCTTGCTTCAACAGCTGCTGGAACCCAATGTGAATATTGGACTGGCGGGGCCTTGGGAAGTGAGCCTTCCATAGGGAGTATGATCCAGCTTCAGCAGTCCTTCAGGGGCCCTGAGTTTGCCCATAGTTCTATAGATGTGGAAGGACCCTTTGCAAACGTCAACAGAGGTAACGTATGCCATTTACCAATTACTTGCCTAGTGGTGGTGACTATTCATGTTCTATAATCTTATGCTAGGAGAACTACTGTCAGCCGAGCATGAAATTTATATTTTCGATGCCTTCCATTGACAAACCGTCATGTAGTAGAGCTATAACTAACCAGGGATGGTGAGGTTACATAATTCATATTGGGATCAGACAGTGCTCCGATCAGCCTTGCCAAAACCAGGTTCTGGTAACTGTGCTTCTGGTCTAAATTCTCAGTATTTTAGTTGAGCAGCAAGAGTGTAATGTAGATTAACTGAGAAACAGTAGGTTATAGTCTTTCCCTCTGCTTTGATGGCATTGAAGGTAAGATAGAGCAGACAATAGAGCAAAATACAAAAAGCCCTGTTAGGTAGTGTAGTACAGTCGGGCCCCTACGTATCTGTGAGTTCCCTATATGCAGATTCAACCAACCGTTGAGCAGAAATACGTGGGAAAAAAAAAAAACGATAAAAAATAACAATACAACAAAAATAATACAAGTAAAAATTACCAGAATAACAACTATTTACATAGCATTTACATTGTTTTAGGTATTACAAGTAATCTAGAAAAGTTTAAAGTATATGGGAGGATGTGTGTTGATTATATGCAAATACTACACCATTTTGTATAAGGCACTTGAGCGTCTATAGATTTTGGTATAGGAGATAGGTTATCCAGGATATGGAGAGATGACTACGTTCTTAGTCAAAAGAATATTTTCATTATACAACCTGGTGTCCAAAACAGCTCTAAGATTCTGTCCAGAATTTCAATATCAGTATAGACCTAAGAAGTTATAAGTAGTTCTCTTTTTTCTTAAAACTATAAAATTATTTCTCTATTAGCAAAATAAAAATCATTTTTAAATTGTACTTTTTGGACTAGCCACGTATGCCTTAAAATTTTTATTCTCACTAAATATAGCTACTGTAAGACTACTTTTCATTTTATGCCATTCTTGAACTTTCTTTTTGACTTAATATATTTCAAAAATAATAAGAAGGTAAAACTATAGGTCAGCCCGGAAATGTAGGCTCCCTCAAGTAGCAAACTTATTAAAAAGCTTATGTAAAATGGTTCCGTGACATTTCACTGGAACCACTGGTACCCTAGGGAAGACCACTGGCCACACTTACTGCTTTAAGTCCCAGGGTAGAAATTGAGATTAGAAAATGAATTGCCTTTTAATATGTTATTCTAGAAGGCATGTGGGTATTAACATGTGAAATCACATTCCATTCTATGATGCCTGTTATGTTTTTTCAGACTTTTTTGAAGTCATCGTCAAATGTGTTTCCTGATAATTTTTCACGAACTTACGAGAAATTTTATTTTCAGATGACTGGGATATTGCTGTAGCTAGTTTATTACAAGTCACTCCCTTGTTTTCACATTCTCTTTGGAGTAACACTGTCAGATGTTACCTCATTTATACCGATGAAACTGAGCCTGAAATGGATCTTTTCCTTAAGGTGAGAATATTTGTGAAGTCTATATTTACCAATTTAAAATACACGTTAATATTATAGTCTATTTATGGTACTACTATATCTAAAGCAAGTAATTTACCATCTACTAGACTATATATGTCTTAAAAAACAGAAAGCATCTGGGGCTTTACCTTATGAGAAAATCATGTTCAGTATTATA